GATGACGACCTCACATGGGGAGATGTAGCCGAGGCCAATGGTGTTAAAGAGCCCATAAGGCAAACTAGAGCATATGCAAGATCTAAAGGAAAGTCGCCTGCTACTCCCGCTCCTACAACTTTAAGAGTTCGAAAATCAGTGCAAGTTGTGGTTAGTGATGATGACACCGAAGAAGAATTGGAAAAGGAAGATTGTGAGGACGTCTAAGACGAAGAGAATTTAGATTTAGATGAGGATGATGAGCTTTGATTACTTATATTTACTTTTTGTTCTATTTCAAACTCTAGAAGTTCTTAATGTTAGCTTGTCTTTATTTGGAACTAAACTTATAGAATTTTTTTGTTTTATGCATCTTATTGACATTTACTATTTTGGTATTTATTTTTTTAAGGTAATTTATGCACTATTAAGGTGCGTCTTGCTTCAATCGGGCGTCGTCTTTGTATCGCCTCTCGCCTCAAGGCGATCAAAAGACTCGTCGCCTAGCGGTGCGCCTTGTGCCTTGAAAACACTGTTTCAAAGTATACACGATTGAATTCCAAAAAGATAGCATCATAACGGTTTCAGCGGCTCTCTTCCCCTTTGGGTCCTTCGCCCATTTAGAGGTGGTCCATTTCTCAGAAATAAACATTTTCCTCAAATTGGCTTTATTTCTGTGAATAGTGGCTAGGGTTAAAAATGAAGTTGCGAAGCGAGTCACTGCTGGTCTTACCAATTCATGTTGGTTAGTAAATTCTCTCATCATGTTTAGCACGTACAAGTGGTTGTAAATAAAACCACTAAGTGCCACAGCCTTCCTAAGACACCTTTTCACCTGCTCAATCTTTCCAATAACCTCCAAAATTAAATCTAGACAATGAGCAGCGCATGGTGTCCAATATAGTATTTAGAGGAATACCTGCTTGATATGTCCAATGCATGATGAATTGCATTGTAGCATCTCTCCCTTTTTTATCATATTTTTCAGTAATAGTTGATTGCTTTAACCTCTTCAATCGATTTCTATCATCAACAACTTTTCCAGGATGTTGATAAACAAATTTATCTATTAGCCCATTTGGTCGCAGTGGTTTTAACACTGATGGACTACAAGAGTTACTACTTCCTCCTCCACTTCCACTTCCTCTCCCTCTCCCATTCCCACCTATACTACTCACATTATCACCTGTGTTTATTCTTATTCGATTGTTCATTGGGGTTGATGTTAATCCACTACCACTACCACCAACTACTTCCATCTCATCTTGATCATCTTCTTCAATCAAAGTTAAATCTTCATACGTTAGGAGGACATTACTCTCTTCCCTTCTTGCTTTTGTTCTTGTTTGATACTCCTTCAATTCTTCTCTCACATTAGTTGGGCATTTCAATCATGCCTTTACATTTAGATTTCCCCCAACCAAATGGTTTGTTGCTCGGCAAACTCCACCTTTGGTAATTTTTCCACAAAACATGCATTTGCACGTGTTTGTATCTTTCGGATCATCCAATATGATGTATTGCCAACCGGGATGCTTGCGTTTGTTTCCACCTTCTTCCATCCTAATATAATTCAAATTTGGAAGATAAAAAAACATTGTAAAGG